GCAGTTGGGGGTGACCTGGCCAGTAGCTGGGGGAAGCTGTAAGAGGTGATCAGGCCAGCACGGAGGGGGGGGGGGAGAAACAGTGAGGGGCAACCAGGCCGGCAGTGGGGGCAGTGAGGCCGGCAGGCAGTCGGTTAGGGTTGATCAGGCTCGCAAGGGGGGCGATTAGGAGCAATCAGGCAGGCAGGCAGGTGAGCGGTTAGGAGCCAGCAGTCCAGGATTGTGAGAGGGATGTCCGACTGCTGGTTTAGGCCCAATCCCTAAAATTGAGCCTAAACCAGCAGTTGGACATCCCCCAAGAGGCCCCAGATTGGAGATGATGCAGGCTGGGTTGCGGGGACCCTCCCCCATGCACAAATTTCATGCACTGGGCCTCTAGGCCTATATAATAAAAGCCTAATATGCAAATTGACCAAACAGCAGAATGACCAGTTGTTATGACATGCGCTGACCACGAGAGGGCAGATGCTCAATGCAGGATGCCCCTGGTGGTCATTGTGCTCCCACAGAGGGAGTGCTGCCCAGCCGGAAGCCAAGCTCATGGCTAGTGAGTGCAGCAGCAGTTGCGGGAGCCTCCCCGCCTCTGCAGCAGTGCTAAGGAGCAGCAAGCAGGCAGGCAGTAATGAGTAAGGGGTCCTGGACCGTGAGAGGGATGTCCAACTGCCGGCTTAGGCTGTTCTTCAGGGAGCAGGCCTAAGCTGACAGTCTGATATCCCCCAAAGGGTCCCAAACAGTGAGAGGGCACAGGCCAGGCTAAGGGACCCACGGCTCCAGTGCACAAATTTCATACACCAGGCCTCTAGTCCTATATAATAAAAGCCCAGCAACTGAAGAGCAGAACCACCAGAACAATTGGTCGACCAGTCACTATGACACACACTGACCACCAGGGGGCAGACGCTCAATGCAAGAGCTGTCCCCGGTTGGTCAGTGCACTCCCACAGTGGAATTCCCACTGCAAACTCCAGGCTGACAGGCAAGAATCCAGGCTACAATTATCATTGCCTCCTTGCCCCAGGCTCCTCCTCCTTGCTCCTTGCTGCTTCCCCCAGATGCCCACAGGCTGCACAGTGCAGACACCGGGCTCACAGAGCTGACCCTGGAGGCTGTTGCAGGACTGAAGCATACTCTGCCGCCTCTCAGTGCTATCGTCCCCGATTGGGTCCCCTGGAGAGGCGAATGCTGGACCAAGGAGTAGCCACTCAGAGAGCGGGTTCACAGCCATTCGGCTGAATGATGCTCCCACAGCGGGCGACCCCTGCAAACCACTCCCCACACCAGTGCACAAATCCCATGCACCAAGCCTTTAGTATTTATATAATGGAATACTATGCATCTATAAAAAAGGATCTCTTACCCTTTGAGACAGCATGAATGGGCCTGGAGATTATCACACTAAGCAAAATAAGCCATTCAGAGAAAGACAAATATCACATGATCTCACTTATGTGTGGGATCTAATGAACAAAATAGGTCCAGAGACATGGAACAAACTAACAAATCTGCGGGAAGGGGAGAGGAGGAGGTGGGAAGAGATAAAACAAAGAACTTATATGCATATCTGCACAGCCCATGGTCACAAACAATAAATAATAAAGTGAAGGCCTGGGGTGGGGCAGGAGCCAAGTGGAGGAAAGTAAAGAGCTTGGGGGGAAGAGGGACATCTGTAATATTCTCAACAATAAAAATAAATTTTAAAAAATATATCCTCAGGTGAGGATTTAAAAAAAGACTAAATGTTAAAAATTACATGGACTTCCCTGGCCAGGTCACTCAGTTGGTTAGAGTTTCACCCTGAAGATTCAAAGATTCTAAGTTCAATCCCCAGCCATGGTATTTATGGGAGGCAACTGATTGATGTTTCTCTCTTTCTCTCCCTTTCCTCTCTCTAAACATATCCTCAGGTACTTTTTTGTTGTTGTTGCTATTAATCCTCATCTGAGATATTTTTTCCACTGATTTTTAGAGAGTGAAAGGTAGGGAGGAGATAAGCAGGGGAGGAAGGAAGGGACTTACAGCAGTGTGAGACACACCAGTTGGTTGCTTCCTGCATAATCCCCGACGAGGCTGCGGGTCAAACCAGGCACATACCTTAGACTGGGAATCAAACCCAAGACCCTTTGGTGCACAGGCTGATACTCTAACCATTGGGCACACCAGCCTGGGCTGGAGTGAGGATTTTTTTTTTTAAATTATTTAGGCTACAGTGGATAGAACAGACTGGAGAGTGGCAATGAGTGAATGCTGCCAGGAGGCAGAAATTCAGGCAAAATGATAGGGGCCTGGACTCAGATGGTGGCAGTGACAATGAAGGTAAGCTGACAAACTCAGGCTGCACCCATGATGGGAAATGTGTAGAACTTACTGGAAGACCACTGAGGGTTGAATAGTGAGCAGGAGAAGTGGGCAACAAGGATGATCCTTGATTAATTGGTCTCTGTGTGGATGGTCTGAGACTCAGACAGCACAGTTTTATGTGAGGAGGGAGGAGGGATATCATGAGAGAGGTTAATATAATGAGTCAGATGTAGAAAGTAAAAATGAGCTTGCTCTGAGAAAGTGAAACTCTGTCTGCAATTGTCAGGCTGGGATAACAAACACACATTAAGCTAGCTGCCACGTTAACAGGAAACAATAGTTTTCTCATGGACACGCTGCAACTGTAAGAGTCATAATAACCCCTTCTTTCAGTGACTGCTAGTTTCTTATTCTCAGAATGCTTTTTCTACAAAATCCCACACTACCAGAAATTTTACTTATACCATTAAGAAGGAAACATCCCATTCTCGCTGGAATAGAGCAAGTAACCTTGATTTCCAGCTAGCTGCCAAGATTCAAATAAGGATTTCTAGACACTGAGTCCACATCTATGTAAATTTTGTAGTTTTCAAGGAAGTGGGCCCTGGCTCCACTGCCATGAGACCTGATGCTGACTCCTTGGCACACCCTACTTTGCTTAGAGCCCATCAAAACATGATATTTGCGTTTCACCTAAACTCCACCCTGCCCCAAATCCTACAGCAGCTCTGTCCTTTCCCTTTTGGCACATGCCCCAGCTCCTCTGGTGTGTGGTCTCCCTCACTACAATGAGTCCATAAACCTGACTGTGAGACTATCAGATCCTTTCTGATGGCCATAGACTGATTAGGCTAAGGCAAACATTTAAAATTTTGATTGCCAAACTCGTGAGAAAAATACCACATAGCAATTAGGTCCTGAGCCTGGAGAGGTCTGAGCTAGAGATAAATACAGGGGCCACTGGCACCAAGATGGAACTGAAGCTGTGTGTGCGTAGACTGCCCACAAAGAGGCCATGGAGTGAGAAACGAGTGGGCCTATGCCTGAGTCTCAAGAAACTCCATTGGCTGACAAAGAAGGATGAGTCAGCAGAGGAAAGTGAGAAGAAATGGCTTGAGAGATCAGTGAGGAAAGAGGTGACTAACTACATGGCATGGGGAGAAGACAGGATCTCCTAAAGTCTAACTTTGATCATGTCACCAGACTCATGGGTGGCCCTTGCTTTTGTAAGCACAATTTGATTTTGCTAGAGGACTGATCTCCAAAGACTGACCCATGCTAATCTGTTCATGAGACCCTGGTGCCTTTTTCAGAATGCCAGTTTTACTCATTTGCAGATTGACACACTCTGCTACTGGTTAGCACTTTCCTTCCTTGAAGATAAATACACTTGGGATGACTGACTGTTCTCAGAAGGTTGCTGGATGAGCAAGGCGTCAGAACTGGGAAGTTTAAGAAACCAATGACCTGAAGCTATGGTGACCAGTGACAATGACCTGAAGCTATGGTGACCAGTGACCAGTATCCAGCAGGGTCCTGATGGGAAACAAATCAACCCAGATGCTGAGATTTTATGGGCAAGCAAAGGTAAGAGACCGAACAGGGATGGCGAAGCACCCAGCAATCAGCAATGCCCCTCAGCTGAAGGAATGAGGGGAGGAAACAGTGTTACTGGAGCCCAGTGAGAGCTGAGACTGTGGAGGGGGCCTTAGTGGGAGTCACAGCTGTGGAGACAAGAAGAAACACTCCCAAGCCCTCCCCTCTGACGCCTTCCATTGGTGAGCCCTGCTGGCAGCCAGCAAGGGAGCCAGAGGCAAGCATCCTGCAGGAATCTACAGCACATGGCAGAGGAGTGTGGATCTGAGGATTCCAGAGAGACAATAATGGGGTAGGGAGTTGTGGCAACCCTGAGGATTCTCCCGGCTGATTGAATACGGCCGCCCTTTGACCAAACACATCTGCACAAACCAGAAACTTGTACTGTTAAGATAACTTCTTGTCTGGATTAGTGCTAGAAACACAACGTAGATCCCCTGGATGCACCTTTTCTACAGGTGACAGCAAATAGATGCATTGTGGTGAGTTAACCTTAACCACTGAAAGTTGATTTTAATTATAATTCAGCTTCAATTAGGCAAGTGCTGAATCAATCCTAGAATATCTCCAGGAACTTCAATAGGCTTCTAGATTGATATCTTATGCAAAGCTCAGGTCAACTCTCATAATCTAAATGGACAAGTCCTATCTAGCAAGCTGGAACTTAAACTAGTGCTAGAAACTGACAAATCCATTAACCTAGAGACAAGTAAACCCACATTCAGCCATCTCTACAGACGCATTTAACTGCATGGCAAAATTCTTAACTTCCACCGGTAAGGACTTAATTTTTGGAGCAGAGCTTTTAAATTATAAAAATATAAAATTCTTCTGCCAAGGAAGAGAGGTGGAGAGAAAAATAAGTTGGTAAGAGATACTTGAGAAAGCTAGCAACCCTTCCTCCAACACAAACAACACACGTCCTGTTACTCATTCGAGCCCCTCCCTTTCTAATATCTTCATCTGACTCTCCCAAGTGTAATTAAGGACTAGAACGGTACCTTGGGGTTCATTTACAATTACTTTACCGTTATCTATGTAAGGTACACATGCTGGACCAGACTGCTGTCACCAGCAATGGCTGCTAGAGATGAAGCAAGACTCACTTTTTTCTACAATCTTTAATTTCTGGAAGCTTTCCAGGACTTCCCCATTTAATATTCTGGGTAAAAAGTCCCGTATTTGCATCACTTCAGTTGTCAGCCGTTCCAGATCCTTCTTCCGGACTTTAACAAATTCTTCTTTAGCTCCCATAAGCTAAAAGAACAAACAGGTCTTTAGATTATTACATTTCTCTTCAGATGACTAAAACCAGCAGTGTGTCTGCTTGCTTCCTTTATAATGCCTTTCATGTTCATCGTTTCAAATGCATGCATGTCTTTACCCAAAGTGCCCTCTGCTGTGAAGATTACATCTTAGAGCCCAAGCCCCGGCCTTCAAAGTGGGAGCCATTTCTTCAAGTGCATACAAGGCCCTATTTCTGAAAACGCTCGCAACTTTTCCTTCACGTTTCAGCGCCAAGCTAATCAGGAGGAAAGGAAATTCACTAGATTCGGGTGCCCAAGCCCTTGGCTGGTCACCTCATTCAGTGTTCACCCTTTTAAGTTGCCCAGGTCAGAAACAGGAAGTTGGGTGACTCAAAAGTACCGCCATGAACAGGGGGCAGAACCAAGATCCTTCTCCTCCATCACGTGTGGTGGAGGAGACATGATAAGGGCGACTCTGAATCTACACTAAGCCCTGACACAAGCCTCCCAGCCTCGCAGGGAGGGTTCGGCTCCGGGTGTCCGAGGGGTGCCACCACCATCTCCTCTTCGTGATCCCACCGCCCACCAAGCAGCCTTCTGGACCCGCCTCCAGTTTCAGAGGCAGGATCGTTGGCCTGCACCCCAGGCCCAGGCCACGCTATAGGCTCAGAGGCCCAGGGCCATTTTCAAGAGGTTGCCATACAGCGAGGGTACGCAAATGGTGGCAGCTCAGACACGCGGGCGGCGGCCCGGCCTCCTCACTGGCCCCGCGGGCCTCCCCTCTGGCCCCGCGAGCCTCCCCACTGACCCGGTGGGCCTCCTCAGCGCCGCCCGCCTCGCCCATGGCCGCCATTCAGGCCCTGGCTCCCTGCGCCTGCGCCGCGCCCTCTGACCCCTCACACCAGAATGCGCGGGAAGTAGCGCGAGAACACGTGCACCCAAGGGATTGGGTATGGAGAGCAGCAAGGCTCAAACCTCAAAGAGTTTGCGCAGATTCTCTGCCCCGCGACCAGGGGTGGGCTGGGCCAGATCGTGCGTGGCTGGAGTTTTAAATTTAACTGCAAAATGGGAGAACAGTAAGACCCAGGTGTAAGTGTTGAGTGAAATAGTGTTTGCGGAGAGATGGTATCCGAAGGGGCCATGCGTTCAAGGGAACTGCCCACCCGCGCTGGGTCTAAGCTCCTCTAGCGAGGGTGGATGGCATGGAACCACAGGTTCTTCGGGAAGTCCGTCCCTGTTAGGGAGTGTCAGTACAAACAGCTAGTCGTTACTGAGATGACCATCATAAATTTGGAAACGTCACCTAGTTCAGTGGTCGGCAAACTGCGGCTCGCGAGCCACATGGGGTTCTTCGGCCCCTTGAGTGTGGCTCTTCCACAAAATACCACGTGTGGGCTCGCACATACAGTGCGATGGAAACTTTGTGGCCCATGCGCAGGAGTCTGTTTTTGGCTCTCAAAAGAAATTTCAATTGTTGTACTGTTGATATTTGGCTCTGTTGACTAATGAATTTGCTGACCACTGACCTAGTCCATTCGCTTGTCCCAGATAGGCCAACTGGGTTCTTAAAATATGGTGCAGCTTATGGGTTGAAATACACCATATTACTTTACAACTAAGACTTTAAGACTTCGTTTGTCTCTGAAACTCGCAGGAAGTCCCCAGAGAGCATGTTCTCCAAGCCTGGGGGCGGTCTCACCAGGACACTCCAGATCCATCTCCTCCTGGAACCTGCTTACACTTGCCCTTTCCCTGCCCCGGAACCAAACTCCACACAGGGACCTGCCCTCCGCCCCAGCACCTGCCATCACCTGCCCTGGGCCCTGCCCTGCTGACATTCAGGCACCTGTGCCCACACTGGGACCAAAACATGGATAGACGCTGGAAGGGCGCTGCCTATGCCTGGCCATAGAGGCCTCTCAATGGGGCTGTCCCCAACATTCCACCCAGAAAGCAAAGAACGGCCCTTCTTCCCAGTCTCCACCTGCCGAGGCGGAATAAGAATAATACAATTAACAACTCAGTTCCGTGTATTTTGTAGGACAGCTACCAACCAAATGAGGGTTGTTTTATATATATATTTTTTAATTGATTTTTTACAGAGATGGATAGAGAGCTACAAACATCGATCAAAGAGATACATTGACCAGCTGTCTCCTGCACACCCCCCACTGGGAATATGCCCGCAACAAATGTACATGCCCTTGACCAGAATCGAACCTGGGACCTTTCAGTCCACAGACTGAGGCTCTAATCACTGAGCCAAACCGGTTTCGGCCAAATTAGTTTTTTAAATATATATATTTTTGGTTTTTTTACAGAGAGGGAGAGAGTAACATCGATCAGCTGCCTCCCGCACGCCCCAACCAAATGAGGTTTTTAAAAAATATTTTTTATTTATTTTTTTTTTTTACAGAGAGGAAGGGAGAGAGACAGAAACATCCAACAGCTGCCTCCTGCACGCAACCAAGGTAAATGCCCGAGGGAAGCGAACCTGGGACCTCTTAGTCCGCAGGGGTGTGTTTTTTTTGTGAATGGACTTAAAGATTCTAGGCCTTTTACAACTGGCCATCCGACTCTTCCTGGCCAAGACCCAGCCCTGGCTAGCCTCTCCGTCAACGGCCTGGAGCTCTAGCTACTGAAAAACTGGGAAGGGGCGAAGACAACCATCACTGGCTTGTTTCGCCGCCAAACGCCGCGAGGGCCGGCGGCGCCTTTGTGACGTCATCAGCCCGCGCGCCGCCGCCGCGTTCTGCGCAGTTGCGGCCAAAGCGGCGCGGCGGCGGCAGTCGCTTGGCAGCGGCGGAAGGCTGTGGGGCGGCGGGTGGTGGCCGGGGATGCGCCGGCGGGTTGGAGGGCCCCCGCTATGCAGCCGGCCGAGATCCAGTTCGCCCAGCGGCTGGCGTCCCACGAGAAGGGCATCCGGGACCGCGCGGTGAAGAAGCTGCGCCAGTACATCAGCGTGAAGACGCAGAGGGAGACAGGTGGGCGCCCGGCGGCCAGCCGCGCCACATGGCGGCAGGACGGCGCCCCGCTCCGCCCCGACTCTGACCGGCCGCGTGCTTCTGGGTGCGCGCCCCGTGGGGCTAGCCTAGTTTCACATTTGAGGGAGAGAGGCCGACAGGGCTTAGGGAGTCTGCTGGAAGTCCTAGTGAGCGAGGAAACAGAAAACTATCCCCAATCGGTCCCTCCCCGAGCCTCTACCTGCTAGGCTCATCAGCCCGATTCATCCTGCTGGGCGCTTCCCTGAATCCTGCCACCATCAGACTGGTGCTTTTAGGAGCTGGGTGACGGGAGAGGAGACAGTCCTGCCCTGGAGGAACTTGTGCTCGTAAAGCTGGGGCGGGGAGGTCACGAGAGCAGAGCTTTCAGAGTGGAGTAACGGAAATGGAGGTCTCGGGCTGGTCCAGGGAGGCCACTCCGGGGCGATGTTGAACGGAGCTGAACAGAAGCGGGAGGAAGAGCGGAGCATGCCCCAGAAATGCTGGAAGAGACCAGGAAGTCAGGGAGGGTGAGGCTGGCTGGGTCACGTTGGGGGTTGTAGTTGGATTTTTAAATGCAGTGGGTGCTATTGAAGGATTTCGTTTACCTGATGCAAGATATGTTCTGTGTAGATGCTTATGCTCCCTGAGGTGAGAACTGCCATACGAAATGGAGGTTTTCTATTGCACTAAGGTCAAGCTTGCTTTATTTACTAGTCCGTTGAGTCTCCTTGAAACAGTAGGTATTGCCTTCCCCTATACTGGCATTGTCAGTTTATTTACTTAGAAAAGGACACCCGGAAAAAAGGAACTATAATATGATGTGAAGTCTGCTAGAAAGAGGTATGAAGACCAAAATTCTCGATTTCAATTGTGTTAGGATCTCCCTGACAGGCTTCATTGACTCCCCTGGTTTTAGGTGTCCCAGTTATATTGAAGGCTCTTGAATCTAAATGTCTAGCCAAGACCTTTGCTACTTTCAGCTCAGCTGTGCCCCCACTAACTGGACATCTCCACTTGGATGTCGGTCGCACTGAAACTTCGGATTCAGAATGCCTAAAAGTGACTCATTTTCTATCTCCAAAACCTGTTTTTTGCTGCCCATCTGCCACCTGTTCTAATTTTGTCGAGCTGGTTTCATGGTATTGTCCTGGACTTCTCTCTTCCTCACCCTCTCCAGCCCCCATCCCTACATCCACTTTCCTTCACTCATACCTGTTTCATCTCCTAAATTACTCTTTTCTGGCCCACATCTTCTTTATCTCATCCGGGCTTCTGTACTGGTTTATTTCCTAACTGATTTCCTTGACTCCTCTTATGCCCCCCCTTGGACCCATCTTCCATAAACCAGCTCAGAATCATCTTTCTAAAACAGCTCTGCTCTCCTCACCACCTTCCTGAAATTCCAGGTCTGCACAACATCTCTCCTCCCCTTTTCTTTCCACCTAATCCCCTTTATGACTGCTTCCTGCTGTAACAGCAAACCATTCCTGGGTCTTGGTGTACGCTGTCCTATTTCTCACCTCACTGCCTTTGCTTCTGTGCACGCCGAAAAGATTCCCATTCTTGATCCACTCCTGATATTCAGTATCACTTTTCTTATCATCTCACCCCCTCTCCAGGATTCTGAAATACCCAGTTTGTCTCTATTGTAGTACTTGGCTATGTTGCTTGTTAATTATCTGTTAATGTGTCACTCTTACCTCAAACACTGTAAGCTTCCATCTGTTTTCTTAGCTGGAGTGGGAGCACATCCAGGCGTACAAGGGCCTGGCTGTATTCAAGAACAGAAGAAAGGCCAGATGCAATGCGTATGGGGCTGAGACAGCCAGAAAGAACCTGTTCCTCAAACCCCTTTGGTGAGCAGGTTCAGGATCTGAGATGCTGAGGCAGGGGCATGAGGCCAGTGGTTTTACACCAACCAGTGCCCCAGGGTGTTGTCTGGTTAGCACCCATCAGACCTACAGTTACCTGTCTGGTACCTCTTGTTCAACGCTCTATCCACATGGCAAGAGAACAGTGGCCCTTCAGCAAACTAACTGCAGAGTGAATGTCATAGAGGTGGTGATGGGACAAAATAAACATGGTCTCTGCCACAGCTGTACTCCATCAAAATAGAAACACAAGTTTGGAAATAACAGCCTGACATTGGAATCTCATTGACAGGCTGAAATTTTTTTGGGTCTTGTCTTGGGCATACTAAAGAAAAACAGATTTTACTTTTTTTTTCTAATAAAAAATATTTTTTGAATTCTCAGATATGTTTAATATATTTTTATTTCAGAGAGGAGGGGGGGGGTTGAGAGAGATAGAAATATCAGTGATGAGAGAGAATCATTGATCGGCTGCCTCCTGTACATCTCACACTGGGGATTGAGCCTGAAACCTGGGCATATGCCCCGACCCAGAATTAAACTACTAAGACCTCCTGGCTCATAGGTCGATGTTCAACCACTGAGCCATGCCAACCAGGCACATGGCTTTGTGATTTGAAAAACAAATGAGAAGTCTGTACCGCTTAAAGCAACTAAATGATGCCCCAGTGCTCTTATCAGTTCTTCAACTTCACTTTACTTTCTTTTTCTTTTTGTAGCACATAAGGTATTTTGTAGTACATGTTACAGTTGGTGAGTGTTATATTTGTGGCAGTACTGGGTGAAATAAGTATTTTTTCATACTTACAATGTTGGGGGTGGGTGTCTCAACCCAATGTGGTAATGATTAGCAGTGCCTGTTCTGACGCAGGTGTGGGTTCGAGTATAACACTTCACCCCCATCTGAAACACGGCCCCTGTGCTCATTCGTGGTAAGAGAGGCTGTTGGATTTTCTTATTTCAAAGCTTGGTATTTCCTACATCCACGTCTCATTTTCACTTCCCTTCAGTTGATTGGAATAAACTAAGCCTATATTATTGTTAGAAACTTAGTTGTATTAAGTTTAAGAGACTCAATCCCCGGAAGAAAACGCAGGTCAAGAGGCAGTTGTGAAAGGAAACTGCTTTGAATATGCACTTCACTTTCAGAGTTTTGAAAGAAATTAAATAACGAATATCTCTCTGTTTTGCTTTAAATGCTTCAAACATTGGTACCTTGTTTTTATCAGCTAAATTCTTGGGTGAAAACAAGCGGTCTTAATACTTATATTGAAAATATATATTTTATTTAACAGTAGAGTTTCAACAGCCTATGGGTAGAGGATGTGAGACAATCATAATACCCACAAAGTGAACAGTGCTTTGCACTTACAAAGTGCTTCTGATACTTGCCCTACATTTTGGGCTGAACCATAAACATTACATATATTACAGGCAAGGAAACGGGCATTGGCAACAGTTCTGTAACATTGCCCTGCTGGTAGTAAATAGCAAGCTGAGACCTGGCCAGGGGTTTGTTTCCAGGTACTTTGTTTCTTTGCATAAGATGAAACGGTCAAAACTCGCTTTCATCTCCAGCTCCCTTTCCTGCCCCCTGTCTAAGATCTGCTAATCAGTTACTTTGTTGAAATCTGTTTTCAATTACAGAAGCATCTGGCATATTATCTTTTACCTTCACCCATTAGAGGTATGGGTTGTCCACTGAGACAAATTATCACTTAAAGAGTTAGACATTTTGTTGCACTTGAAGAACCATCTGGAGATATACATTGTGCTGTTTTTAAGTGAAAAGGGTCAGAATACAGAATATGTAGAACACATGATGCTATTTAGGTCACACACAATTGCATTTCTGTATCACATGTAAGTAAATGCATAGGAAAGATACATGTCAGCAGATAGTAATCCTCTGGGAGGAGACGGGTTTGGGTCGCAGTGATCAAAGCACTTTTGATTGTGTAACTTGATATAGAAATGAACTTTTTCCCATGAAAAATGTGTTCTTATTGGTTAGGACTCTCAATTGCAATTGGACAAAACATCCAAGCCACCCTAGTTTTAAGGGAAAACAAACTAACACAGCTTCATGCAGAGAGCTCAACTAAAGGCCCCAGAATCCAGTTTTTCTCTGTTGCAAATTCTGCTACCCCCATATTGGTTTCATTCTCAGACAGCTCCCCTTCATGTGGCAAGCTGGCTGAGCGTAGGTCCAAACTGTGTCTTCTCTGCAAATCTACTGGGAGAGAACTGGAGATTTTCCTAAAGCCTGAGCGAGGGCATCTTTATCTGTGGGGGGTTCATTCTTGAACAAGCCCTGTGGCCAAGGGAATTCATGCTGTTTGGGCTGCATAAGCTCAACTCACTGATTTGCCTCCATATGGGTAAGTCCAACCCAGACCACTGCCTCCTTCCACAGGCCCTGCCTAATTAGTTAACAGCCCTGGAGGGGGAAAGGGTGTAAGTGCTCAGCAAAAATGCCCAGTACCAGGCCTCATGCAGAAATCGGTGTCATTTAAGTCCTGTTCACCGGTGTTTATGCGTTTCTGATTGCATTATGAAGAGTTTTCTAAACAAGAAAGAACAAGAGCCCACATTAACACTTTGGTAATATCCTGTAGTTTGTTTGTTTCTTTTTATTAAGGAATAGTTCAGATATTTATCAGTACCTGGCCAGTTTGTCTGATCTGCCCACTCCCTCTTTCCCCACAAAACCCTTAAGCAGTTCCCAGACTTCTCATTTCATTTCCAGATATCACTCAGTATATATCTCTAAAAGATAGGGACTCTATAACAGTACCATTATCACACCCTTGTAAAAAAAATTTAATATGAAATCAAGCTGTTCATAAGAATTTTTATGGCATCACATATCAAGACCCACCCATCACATAACAAGACCCACCCATTGCTTTTGGTTGATACGTCTGCTAAGACTCTTAAATTCTAACAGTTTTTACCCATCTTGTTTTTCCTTGCAATTTATTTGTTGGAGGAACTGGGTCACATGTCCTGAGGAGTTTCCACTTTTAGGGTTTTGCTGTCTCTGTCCCATGGTCTCATTTGGCATGTTTCTCTGTCCTGTGCATTTCTTGCAAACTGGCATTAATTGTTAGACCTGATGAGATGGAGGTTAGTGTCAGGAGGAAACAACTCTCCTCTTTCACTGTTCTTCCCTGGTCTGATAAGTCTACATGAGACAAGTAAGAAAATAACCAAATGTTATTACATATGTACATATGGGAACCCCATATATCAGAGAGTCAGACCCCACATACAGGAGAGGGACAGAGACAAAGTTAAAATGAGGAATATGTGACATTCTGAGCTAAGGATAAGGTAAGGCACCTGGGGCTGCAGGGAGGAGGAGAGAGTCATTGCAGGATGACAAGAAGAGCAGATGGCCAGTAATTAGTAGTTTGCCCTGCCCTATAGATAGGTCAAAAAAGTTACTTCTGGTAACTTTTATCTTATGAGCAAGGCCCTTAATTTAAATTCCCTAAGGGAGAGAAAAGAGTTGCCCTTGAGCCTGCAGGGTCTCAGTTGCCTTCAGCTCATGACAATCCACATAAGAGTCTTTGTGACTCTGAACTAGCATAGCAGCTGTTTTTGGTTTTTGTGAGATTATTTAGCAGGTGGTGCTATGTTCTTATTGCATCATGTCTGGCACCGAATGAATAGTTGCTGATGTTCCCAATTTGCAAGTTGAGATGGACCAGTGGGTTTGGGTTTGTGTGTTGTTTTGATTTATCCATTTTAAAGTTGTTCATTAATTTTTAATGTTTTAGCAGCCATTGGTGATCTTTGCACAGAACCACTCATTCATTAGTTTTAACATGAATGAATATAAGCACAGGTCCCTATCACAAAGTAAGTACAATCAGGACTGCGGTTGGCTCAGCCCTGTGGGATTGGTCAGTCACACAATCATGTGGTATTCGCTTTAGGCAGATCCCCAGATGAGGTTGTTTGTAACAAGAGGAGAGGAAAACCAATTGGCTTGTCATTGCTCAACCTCTAAAGGAAATGCACTTCAATAAACTAATTTTACTATGGTTTCTGGTATATTTTAAGTGAGAACATAACAAAGAATCAAAATAGACCATAGTAACTTGGAACCCATAAAAGTATCAAGTTCATTTTGTATGGGCTAATTAAACTTCAGTCCATCAAAAGGATGTTTGTCACTTTGTAATTATCTTTTGGAATATTAAGATCACATTGATTCCAAAGATATACTTCTTCACATTTACCTAGTTGATCATAGTTTGCTCCTCCAAAAGACTTTTCCCAGAACCTCCTGGTGGAATATTAGTAAACACCATTTGTAAGATGCATTAAGACTTGGTTTATTCTCCACAGGCTTGGAAACTCCAAGAGTGTCCTTTTCCCTAATTTTATAATTCCTTATGCCACTCAGCAATTCTTCCGTGGCCCGCCAGATAGAAGACAGTGCGTGTCTTGTGGTTTGGTCATAGGTGGTAAAGGTGGAAGTAGAGGACTTACGTAATGAGAACAAGGCTAACCAAGATGCCACTTAAAACGAGACTAAAATTGCCCAGTAAATGAAAACCCGTAACTGGGAGAGGGTGATATCAGGGTACAGCAAGTGTGATCTTAAAAGGATCTTCTTAGCAAAAACATCCCTAAGCTTTGCCAATTTCCCTGGGACCGATTGTGTGGGGCTTAAGCAAATCCTTGCATCTTTTGTAGGACTTGCATGTTCACTTTGCAAGACAAATGAAAATGATGGCGTGCAGGGGAGATGCTAGGTTCAGCAGAGGGACTTTTAAGGGAGCTCATTTTATAAATAAGCACCCCATTAGTTAATTTTTTGTTGTGATTCCATTCGCTTTCTCACATTACTCAGGCAATGAGGATACACCATCACTACCACCTGCCCCAGAGCTGATAAAACTGCCAGCTTTCTGTGCTTGCTTTATAACAAAGAGGAAATATGTGCAAGCCCTCTGCAGATGAAAATGTGTGTGGCGTCATTTTCACTGCTTATGTGGCAGTCCTAAACTTGAGGAAAAGCAATGTGAGGACTCTGAAATAAGATTTTGTGTTGTTTTGTTCTCTAGGAGGTTTCAGTCAAGAAGAACTTCTAAAGATATGGAAAGGGCTCTTCTATTGCATGTGGGTGCAGGACGAACCCCTTCTGCAGGTAACGTGCACTTCCCTTTGTCACATTACTGCGTCTTTGGCATGGAGGTTAAGAGAGACTTGTTGTATCAGACCCCTAATGTGCCAGACAAACTGAGAGGCATTGCTTCAAGGATTCCCTGTCGCCTCTTGTCATATGGAAAAGGATGCAGTGTCCAAGCATTGAGGTTGATTATCTTTTCAGATAATAAAGAATACACATAAATTAAAGGTTTGCCATTTCCCTGCCAGTTTCCTAGTCCCGTGGTAGGGTTTACCTTAAAGTTTTTGTTTGTTTTCTCTTACTTGTGGTAAAAAAATGTCATGGCACTAGTCTAAGAACCTGTGAGCAGCCCTGGCTCCATTCCAACCTTTGCCACAGTTGGGCAGCCACCTCCCTGGAGTCATGGTCTTCTCAGAGCCACTAGCAGCCCCTTCTGATGCCCACACTAAAGTCGGTAGGGGACTTGTCACACTGTGTTTGTGTGTGTGTGTGTGTGTGTGTGTGTGTGTGTGTGTGCGCGCGCACACGGGACCCATTTGCCAAACACAGTGGGCACTCCCACCGCACTGTTTAGAAAAACAGCTTCACTGTTTAAAGAGTTTAGTTCTGATGTGTAAAAGCAGAGTGAAGAGAGAAGCCTTGAAATGCCATTCAAAACCCTCTAACCATCATGGGTGGATTTTACTTGTCTAGGTTTTTAAGGCTCAACTGTGTCTTTTCCTACAAACCATGTAGTAACTCACTCTGATTATTGCTTCTACTACCATGAACATATTTTGAGTAGGACAGCTAGGCAAAATATTTTTAAATTACATTCTAAAGTAACAGCTAGCAGCTTTAGTGGAGGAAGGAAATGGAATAAGAACATCACTTTCGGGAAATTCATTAGAAATGGATGAGGGAGTCCTGAGGCAGGGGGAAGTGCAGATAGAGAATCTATCTTTTCTATAACTCAAAAAGAATTCTTTGGTTGACACTCCCCTTAGACCCAATCCACCAAATTCCCTACAAACAAGCTTCCTGCCTCTGAGAAGAACTTGTATTCCCAAAGGCACCTTTGCCCAGGACAGAGCCTAAGGTGCTATCCCCTGTGCTTCCCTCCCCCCTGCCGCTGCCGCCTGTCTGAGCCAGCCAGGGAGAGGGACTTCTGATTCCACTCACTGAGTTTTCTAGAGCGAGAGACCCAGGGTGTCTGTGTTTCCATTACTGGGGGATTAGGATAGAAATCTCAATTTAAGTTTTAATGTATCTTTTAAGCCAGGAATTGACAGCTAATTTATTTCTTCTGTAGGTCATTTGAACAGATAACTAGAGATACTTTTTTTTTAAGCAGACAGCTTAAACCAATCTCAGAGGCATATGAAATTGGCACAGTAGTCCTTTGAAATGGAAGATTTTGCATAGATACCCACATACACACTTCTTAGTGGAAGTGGCATTGAAAACAGAGGTACAGATTCTCACTCACCCACCCACCCAAGCAGGTACAGAAGGAGGTGCCAGCAATGGTGCTGTCATCTCAGTGTTGCCATATAGTAACCCCAGTGTTTCTCCCCAACCCGCCTTTGCAGGAGGAGTTAGCAAACACGATTTCCCAGCTCATCCATGCTGTTAACAACTCTGAGGCCCGTAAGTCCTGATGTTTTCATGCCTTTCAAAACGTCCTTGCTTTTCAGATTTGATAACTTGCCTATGAGATCTAGTCCATATTGTTCCTTCTCCTTCCTTCGAAGCTTCCGTTTCCCAGTGGCCTAATTTAATGTGAACCTGGGCTGTCAGTGTATAGATGTCAGGCGACAAACTCTTCCCGTGGGAAGAAACTATGAAAATCTTAGATATTGACTCTAAAAGAGGGTAAAGGGTACCTTGAAGAATATCATATCGGATTATCTCAAAGATTTCAAAAAATATACCTTAAATAATCCTCCAGAATCTCCAAATTCTGAGTTACTGTAACACTCCTAGAAGCTATCGGTGCATATGTCAGTGTGTACAGTACCCTCTGGATGCCAGGTTTATCCCCAGAACTAGAGCCATTAAGGTTGTCACTGGTAATAAACTGTAAAGCAACCCCCTGTACCAAAAAGGATAAACGTATGACACATTACTTCTGGGACACTCAGGCTGGAAAAAAACAGAGGAAAAACTTCCAGAGGAAAAACCAGACTGCAGAATGATTTTTTTCTGTTCACCCTTCCTGAGAATAAAACCATCCAATGGCCTTCTTAGCCCTCAGAGGTTGTCTGAACTTGAGCAGAGCCCCAACGGACATGTAATGAACACAATTCTACACATGGAATATGATGTAGATCTTCATGTATCAAGAAAGATTTGTGCAAAAAAGTGAATAAAAAGATTTTTTTTACAAAATGCTAGTTTTGTGGTCCAGAGAGAAAAATTGAATGTTTTGTTATAGTTGACACTGAGCATGAAAGAGAAAGCTGAGTTTCTGCATGAGCCCATCAGAATGACTGGCTTTGGATTCTTAAATGTAGGTGGGTTGAAAAGACCAGTAGACATGGCTCAGAAAATCTTTAGATTTAGAACTTGGCTTTCAGGAGATTAAGAAAAATGCTTCAGGGAGCATTATAGTTAGGCATTAAGATATTACCAGGTTTCCTGTGACTATAATGTGCTTTGCTTAAATGTAAAAGAAATTATTGAGCATATTTAATGATTGACCAAATTTTCTAGCAGCCCAAGAATTCTTGAGAAAAGTAAATAATGAAGAATCCCATTTGTTTCTTTTCATTACATTTGTGCTTTATGGTAATGTGTTAACCTGAAACCAAGCATTCAGAGCCTTGTGTTCCCTGCAGAACACCTGTTCATTCAGACCTTCTGGCAAACCATGAACCGAGAGTGGAAGGGGATCGACAGGCTGCGCCTGGACAAGTACTACATGGTGAGATAGCCGGCCTTCATTCCAGCTACTGCAGAGGCTCACGAGTGGGAGGGAACATTCAGCTTCTTAAAAACAGTGGGAAGGTTTGATTGTGAAGCAGAGTGAGTTCTAGGCTTGCTGAGATGACAGGCATTGTGAACATTAGACAGCCTTTGAACCTGAACTCAGAAACCTCTCTCTTTGTCCTTTCAGTTGTTAGGGACCAGTTTGCATTTTATGATCTAAAGTTAAATGTGATTATTGTGGATATTTTCTCATTTGGGGATCCAGGCTACACCGTGTCATTAGCCTCCTTCTACAAAGCTGATCAATCCTTCTTACTTCCTTTTGTAATACAAGTTGTCTGTCTTTAGCTGATCCGTCTGGTCCTGAGGGAGTCCTTTGAAGTTCTGAAGCAGAATGGCTGGGAAGAAAGGTTGGTAAACTATTTGGGTTAGCATTTGGTGGCCTGAAAACTTTTAAGGTGATAGTTTGTTTTTCAAGCCTTTCAGTTAATCACCAAGTATGAATTGCCACATCTGTGCTGAGAGAGGCAAAACTCCCTTTCACATAAAGAACTTAAAACCCAGTGGAGGAATATGGAAGAGTTGGGTACATAAGACAGTCAGCTTTTTATACTGATTTCAGTAGTTACTCTTTTCCTTGTAAAACTTGCTCAGTCTCACATGGCTTGTGCAGTGTAGCATGAGACTAAATGTTACATGTTCCCAGAGTTGGAGCGGGGGGAGAGGGGAGTAGCATGGGGGTGCGGGGGTTGGCACACTATAGTTAATAGACCCGTATGTGTTGTTTTCTTTAGCCGCATCAAGCTTTTCCTCGATGTCTTGATGAAGGAAGTCTTGCACCCTGAGAGTCAGTCTCCAAATGGGGTGAAATTTCACTTCATTGATATTTATCTGGATGAACTATCCAAAGTGGGAGGGAAAGAGGTAAGAAACAATCAGACGTCTGCCAGCAATGTGGCGAGACCACAGCTACCTGAGCAGAGCTTCGCTCTTCAGAGCGTCCTATGAGCTGGAATGCCATGCTCTTGGTGGCCCTCTGCGTTGCCAGTGGCAGAGTGTGAATCAGTTCCACCTGGCTCTGACACATTCCTTCCCCATCTAAGAATGTGTCCTAAGCAGCTAATGAGACGTGGGCAAGATTCCTGCACTAAAGATGTGCATGGAATCTAACTTAGGCAGCATTTGAAAGCACCTACATAGTCCAATAAAGAATTGGGTAACGTGAGTAAATGCTCAGATTACTGAGTTTTTAAAGGGTGGGAAAGAAAGGCAGTAGACCAAGTTGTGCAAAGCGTCTGACTCATGTAAGTATGCTTTCATATAGAAATAGGCAAAGGTCTGGAGGGGAAACATTCTTTAGTGTGTGGGTGACTCTGAATTTGGGATTGTGAGCAATTTTTCCTCTTTATTTCACAAGTGTTCTGCAGTGGACAGGTGGTGTTTTTTTTTTGTTTTGTTGTGTGTGTGTGTGTGTGTGTGTGTGTGTGTGTGTGTGTGTGTGTTAATTAAAGAAAGTATAAATGTTGTATTAAAAAAGAACCCCTTATCTCATTCTCTGACTGAGATGCAGAGCTGCTCCACAGAGGAGGAAGTGTGGAGCGGCGCTGGTGGTCACGGTGCTAAGATGCCCGAGGGGCTGGAGGACAGCTGTAGCCTTAGGTGGCTCTGGGCATTGGGTGATTCATGCACAGTGCGTCTGGCATTGTGAGATAAGTGTGGCTCAGTCTGATTCAATCTGTGTGGGGAAAAATACCTTTTTCAAGGACTTGTCAGGAAGGAGAAGGGGTTCTTTTTCCCCTTTTTTATTTCTTTTTTCCCATTTTATTTCTAAACTACAGCTTTTAGCAGATCAGAATCTCAAGTTTATTGATCCATTCTGCAAAATTGCTGCCAAGACTAAGGAGTAAGTGATTCAGTTGTTTGTTTTTATTGCTTAAATTAGTGCTTAATTGGGGGAGGTGGGTTGTTTGTGTTGTTTAGCATGATACAAGGTACCTGGGATGATTGTCCAAAGCTAATAACATCCAAATGCTTAATTCCTATTGGCAAGACGTATGAAGCTTTGAGTCATTATTCGGCTCTTCAAGCATTGCTCTTTGATCCCAATTATTCCAAGAATCACACACTCCCGCTCCTAGAGTTCAGTCTGCTGCTGGTCCCACTGCTCTGGCACAGAGCCTTGGACTGGTTCCTTACAGCCCCCACTGGTTAGCACAGAAGAGTAGTTAGGAATACATGTGCCTGCTGAGCAGCTGGGTGGTCACACTGGGTCCTGGGGAGGCTGAAATTGGGTGTGCAGTGACCCCTACTTCTCATCCCTCTGTCCTCTCTTCAGATAACGAGTTCCAGACCGTTGGTTTTAATCACATCCTCTTTGCTGTGCTTCCCCCTCAGCCATACACTGGTGCAGACTATAGCGAGGGGTGTTTTTGAAGTCATTGTAGATCAGTCTCCTTTTGTACCTGAAGAGACGATGGAAGAACAGAAAACTACAGTGGGTGACAGCGACCTGCCTAAAGAAGAGATAGCTGACAGTGAGGTGACATGGAGAAAAACACTCAGTAAAAAGAAAACAGGTAAGAGTGTCCTTAAGCACTCTTTCATACATTTGTTGAGATCTCACCGACTACAGCTTAGAATTTATAAAAATGGCTTTGGCTTGAACCACCACCTGTGAAAGGAAGCAGATGCATATTCCAAACCCCTGTTTTGTTCAGGGGTCCTCTGGGGAAGACCCTGTGCCTCCCACCCAATTCTTACCTCCCAGGATGGCGGGCCATTCTTCAAGTGTTTGTCATTGTTGGTGTTGCGTTGGGTTTTGTTTGTTTTTGTTGTTTTGGCTTTTCAGTTGTTTTTCAACACCCTAATGGGATCTGTAGAGGATCCTTGACAGGAGGCCTGATGTGCATGTTTGTTGTGAGCATGCACTTGTTTCTAGAGCCTTCTGATCTTGGATTCCTTCCAAGTTCTCTTTCTTGGGATGGCTAAATGCCCACTGTGGGTTGATACTGTTCTTAACCACTGTTGTATGTCCGTGCAGTCATGTAAAGAATGTGCATTAAAGTTGTGGCCCATCAGAACTCTGGGGGTGCACAGCTGTGGAGCCTGGAGGGCATCCCTCCAGCTTTGAAATGCCACAAAGCCATTTTGAAATGCAGAGTTTTCTAAAACCAGTGGCCAGAGGAAATTGAATCATGTTTTTAAAAGCAGGACATAAAACTCTATGTGGGAGGAACCTGCTTTGTTTTACATTTACATGTGCCTTCAGTAATCAGGGAGGATATATATCAGTGAGGGGACGGGAAATGTTAATATTAATAGCCCCACATGGCAGAGCTGTGAGTGACTTCTGTTTGTTTTATACTTTTGTCTGGTTTTTTACATTGGTCATGTATTATTTTTTAACAAAAGAAAAGAAAAAGAAGAAACATTTTAATTTTAAATTCCATATAGGTGATGGGTTAATTAAAAAGCCTGAGTTAATTCTATGTGGTCATGGCGGTTGCCTCTGGGTCCCCTTGCTCTCCATGTTTCTGTCTAAACTAGTGACGTCTCTCTCCAGGAGCACCAGCACCTGCTGTCTTCTCTGCCTGTGCCCTGAGGGCACACCACCAATGAGCTCCTAGGAATCCAGAAACAGCACAGTTTGAAAAGTGGAGTTTTCATTAGTAATTTTTATCTGCTTTCTCATGGGCTTTAGTGCCTTTTGAATTATTTATTTAATGTTACAATTTGCATTTATATATTAACTTGTGCTTCCTGTAGCAGCCCCATGAAGTTAGTATATTACTATACAGATTTTTTTTTCCTGCAGCCCAAACCTATCTGAAATTAGAATAGGCCCTGAATCCACACTCCTTCCACAGCTAGAGTCACATGGTATCTGAGCCCCTAACCCAGCAGCTTCCCGTCCCCTGCGCTGTCTGGAGGGGAGACTGTGTGCTGAACAGCATTGAAGGCCAGGGAGGCTTGTCTGTAATCAATTTAACAGACAGAATTTGTGATTGCTCCTGGGTATTTTTTCATGTCCAGGGGCTGAAACCCCAAAACAGCTTTGGGAAATTATAAATGTATTTGCAGGGTCTTTCTCTTTAAGGAAGTTTTCTTTTTCATTAAGAAACATCTTATTAGGTCCTCGAAGTTAGGCCAACCTGGGTTGGTTTCGACCGGTGGGGCAGGGGAGGGGGGCCCTATCAGGCCCCAGAACGATGGCGGTGTTTCACGACGAGGTGGAAATCGAGGACTTCCAGTATGACGAGGACCTGGAGACGCATTTCTAACCCTGTCCTTGTGGCGATGACTTTTTTTTAAATTTTTTTTTTAATATATTTTATTGATTTTGTACAGAGAGGAAGGGAGAGAGATAGAGCGTTAGAAACATCGATGAGAGAGAGTCATCGATCAACTGCCTCTTGCACACCCCCTACCGGGGATATGCCCGCAACCAAGGTACATGCCCCTGACCAGAATCGAACCCGGGGCCTTTCAGTCCCCAAGCCGACGCTCTATCCATTGAGCCAAACCGGTCTCGGCATGTGGCGATAACTTTTGCATCACTAAGGAAGACTTGGAGAACAGGGAAGACGTGGCGATGTGTCCTAGCTGCTCTCTCATTATAAAAGTGATTTATGACAAAGAGCAGTTTATGTGTGGAGAAACAGTCCCAGCCCCTTCCACCAACAAAGAATTAGTTACATGCTAAAGAAAGACTTTGGGAATCCAAATCCTGAACATTCAGGGATGAGCCACGCTGGAGGCACAGTTCCTGGCTTCCTCATGGGGACAACCACTTTATAGTTCGAGTTCATCTCCAATTAAAGAAGCAAGTCCATGACGTGACATACCTGGATTTCATGCTTAGAACTTTGAATTGGAAAAAGTGTTTTTTATTTTCACATGAATGTAAAGGAAGATAATTAAAAAAAAAAAAAAAAAGAAAAGAAACATCTAATTAGACAGTGGCTCCTTCAGGAGTAGTCATTGCTGTGTAATTGAAGAATTTTGTCTTTGGCTGTTGTTTTGATAGCACTGAGCAAATATCACTCCAGAAAGGAAGGAATCAGTGATGAAAGTGAGACAGATGGTGGCGGAAGCATGGAGGACACTGGGCCGCCTCTCCAGGTTGGTGGCAGTTGTTGCTTTTTTTAGAAGATAGATTTACTGTGGAGTGGCCTAGCTAATTGGGAATTAGGGTCAGAGCTAATTAAACTCTAAGGCCCAATGTGTAAAGTCCTTTCCATCCCTTCAGTCACTAATGTCACCTTCCTTATTATGAATTTATTGCAGACAAATCCAAATATGATGGAATTTTGCTAAGATCTATTCCATACATCAAAGTCAGCTGAGCTATACTTTTGTTGTTGTTGTTAATCCTCACCTGAGAATATTTTTCCATGGATTTTTAGAGAGAGTGACATGGAGGTGGAGAGACAGAGAGGTACATGGTACATGTCCTTACCGGAATCAAACCTGGGACCCTTCAGTCTGCAGGTCAACACTATCCACTGAGCCAAACTGGCTAGGGCTTAGTAATACTTTTTAAATGAAGTTTACTATGTTACCAAGGGCAAATTGAATATCTTTGTAAATTACATTACAAAGAAGCACACCCAAGTAAATTGTATGTGGTGTATTTTACCACAGAGATCTTGCTTAAGTCTTTGGGTGCTCAGTCTTAGCACATGCTTTTTCTGACAGCCTCTGTGAGTACTTCCAGAGTCCCAGCTGTGGGCGCTCTGTCACTAGGAGGTGCATTTCCACGTTACTGCAAGTTCATGTTCGTTTTTCTTCTCACATAGTTTGATTATAAGGCTGTTGCGGACCGACTCCTGGAAATAACCAACAGGAAAAACATCCCTCCCTTCAACAGGAAACGTCTCTGCAAGCTAATCAAGAAGTAAGTGATTGGATGAGAAGGTGTCCGTTCATTCTCGTTCATGTTCAAGTTCAGCCCTTCCATTTATCTCATGGTATAGGACTTGCTGTCACCATGCTTACATTTTTTATTTTTAGCAAATAAATGCACTTATAAACTGCAATGTTTAATAATGACAATCACACACACACACACCCCATCACTCCCCTCCACACACATACACACCTCGTGTCCAATTCTGCAAATGTAGCCACACTCAGCTGTTTCATAGCAGTGTAGAAAGAATGCCCTGACTGGTTAGAGCAGTGGTCGGCAAACTCATTAGTCAACAGAGTGGCAAACCGCAGCTCGCAGCTCGCGAGCCACAGTTTGCTGACCACTGGGTTAGAGCATCGGCCCATGCACCTAAGGTTTCAATTCCCTGTCAAGGGCACGTTCCTGGGTTGCAGGTTTGATCCCGGCCTGACTGGGACAGTATGCTAGAGACAACCAATCCATGTGTGTCTGTCTCATATCTATCTTTCACTCTCTAGCTCACTCTCCCTGCCCCCCTACCTTCTACTCTTCATCTCAAAAAAACATCAATGGGGAAAATATCCTCGGTGTGTATTTAAAAAATTATAAAAATAAATTTATTGATAATATCTAAACTTAAGTTGAGAAATTGCAATGTGAGTGTACTGCTGAGGCGTTACCTGTTGGTGTGATACTGAGCTGAGTAGGGGTGTAGTTTTTTACCCCTTCCCCCACCCCTGGTGTGGTTATGCTGTAGTCGTTGTTGAAGTCGTCGTCGTGACTGTACCAGCATTCACTGCACAGCCCTGTGGCCTATTATGACTGATGACGTACAACAGCTGGGTTTGGTCACACTCCAAGTGAGCAGGCACTGTTCTGAGCACTTAGATTACTCCACGTAATGTGCTAAAGCCTCATAAGCTGCCTTCTGTAATTCCCCCCTCCGACGCATGATTGACTCGGGCACAGGGAAGCTGCTGCGTGGCCCGGGGTTGTAGCTGCCAGACACAGGTCTGGATTTAGACCTCCTATCGCTCCTGCTTTGCCCACTTCCTTTGTATTCTATTCACCAAAATCTTACCGACTAAGCACTACTTTTATTTCTCCACATAGAAAACAGGGGAGCTGGGTAGAGGCAGCGAATCTAAGCTGTGTCAGTCTTTAATGACCAAGAAAGTTAACTGAGGGTGATCTTGTCCTTCGTTTTTGGCCTTTGCGTCGCCTTTCCCCCTCCCCTTGTAGAGGAAAAAGAAAGTGAATTCTAAATATCACATGTTTCTTAAAGTGTGTGCATATGTTTATAGAAAACAGAAAGAAGGGATTTCTTTATGAACTTTTGTTGTTTTCCTTTTCAGATTCCAAGATCTCTCTGAAGGTGAGGAAGGCAGAGCATTAGAATTGATGTTCTTACCTAAATGTGGACCTCGCTGAGCACCATGTGGCCTTTTTTTTTTTTTTTTTTTTTTTTTTTTAATCTTGCCACCCACTCTCCCATCCCAGGAACCACGCTGAGCCAGACACAAGGCTGTGTCTGTGGGGTGGGGGGCATTTGAACCAGAAGGGTTTTTATTGGTTCGTGTAGTTTACAGTTGGACCTTTTTTAAGAACAGACGATTTCTCAGGGTTCTTTTGTGACTGTAAGATAGTTGTCCCCTGGGGGAAGCTGCTGTCTATGCTTGGTGACATTTGAGCAAATCGATGGCCCACTGCCCCCCCATCCCTTGGGCCCCTGAGGTGCTTAGAACTGGGGTGTCCAGACCTGGTTGGCGTATCTGGAGATGATGTCACCCAAGATTTATAGTCCCTTGCCTTGAGTGAGAAAGCCACAAAGTTGAGAGCTTTGGACGGAGAAGTAGTGAGGAACAGTGATGAGGGGGCATGGCTCTCAGGCCCCCGGGACAGCTGTGAGGGCCTCAGAAAACTGACTTCCTGTGACTTTGGTGTCCAGCAGGCACTATGTCTCAACTCGGTTTTGCTGAGGACATTTCTGCTGATGAAGATGACCAAACGCTTAGTCAAGGAAGGCATAAGAAAAAAGGAAATAAACTTTTAGAGAAAACTAACATGGAAAAAGGTGAAGGTGAGGCATAAGGCTTGGGACCAGCAAGGCCCGAGAAGGGAGGGGTGGGCTGCCCTCAGGGACTGTGGAACCAGTGGAGAACCTCTGAGCCACCGTCTTGATAAACAGTTACAGAGCAAACGCTTTTGCTCTTATGGCTGAAAAGTAAATATTGCTTCTGGGTATCTGATTTGTCTAGGACACCCGCATTCCCGCTTCTGGTAGCGTCTGAGGAGGAGTACACACTGCCCTGTGGCCTGTTTGTCTTATTACCACCCTGGATTTGTGGCTTTTACCTTTGGCCTGAAAATTAGTAGAAATCTGAATATATTTCCGCTCCATTTATATTGAAAAGGCATTAGCAAGGTTTCTAATCACAGCTGGGGAAGGCAGGAAATGGGACCAAGGCAAAGAGCTCATGGAGGATCCGAGCCTTTCTGGCAGTAAGACATCCCCACAGGAGTTCTGTCAGCCATTCCCTTGACCCCAGAGCCCCCTGCGAGACCTGCTGTCTGCTTGTCGTTGGGGCACCTGTTGATTGGTCTTTGTGTCTTTCCAGGAAACAGGCTCGCTTTTGCTGAGGAAGAGGAGGGTAAAGCTGCTGTTCACAGGAGGAAAAGGAAAAAGAAGAAGAACCACCTTTCATCTGAACACTTAGGGTCAGGGGTCAAAGCCGTTTCCCCAGAACAGAACGGGGACAGTGAGCCAGAGGCAGGTCCAGGAAGAGCCCAGCTGGGTGAGAATGAGCTAGGGGCAGGGGTTTCGCCCAGCCCCCAGGGGCAGAGCAGCTCGGAGCACCCCCTCGTGCATTCTCCCATGCACAGCAGGAGGAAACGACCGAGGAAGAGGAGCCCCCGGGTCCAGGGACTGGTCTCCGAGTCCACAGCGTCGCCTCTGGAGGACTTGTGTCAAGGTGGCCCCGACAGTAGTTATGCTCTGGTGCCTGTCCCCCACGCTTCCCCAGCCAGTGGCGCCCCGGCCCTGAAGAGGAAGCGGAAACTCAGGGCTCCCCTGGCCAACGGCAGCCCGCCCGAGCTGACCTGGCCCCCGCCCCAGGGGGAAGGCCCAGCAGTCGGAGGGGATTGCCCAGCCACACTGCTCCCGGGCGGGAGACTGAAGAAGAAGAAGGGGGAGCCCAGCCGGCTTGACCTCTACAGCCCATCCACGCAAAAAGCTGCCATCTTCAAGAAGAGGAAGAAAATGAGAGAGATGTTGAACTTGGTTGAACACAGCAGAGGACTGGAATCCGAACTCAAGCTCGTCCAGGCTCTGGTAAGGCAACTGGGGTTTCAGGCAGGGTGGCCAATGCTTCCTGCTAAAAGATCAGGGCCCTGCCTCGGGCTTCAGTGTCCAGGAGGGAGGACAGGTCAGGCTCTGGACTAAGCAGCTGTCATGGTTCATAATCCCCTTTACCACCAGTAAAGAAATGTGACAGTTTCCATGTCTGAGACCGGTCACCACCCCCTTCTTCTCCCCCACTCCTCACCCCGCCCCCACCCCGCTGCCACTCTGAGGGGCTACGGAAGGGCCACATCAAGCTGGGAGAATGGTCCATGGCCCAGGCGGACAGACCCGTGCCTCCATCAAATGCTCTTCTTATTTTTCTTCAACTCAGGACCAATCCCATGCCCATGCTTTCTTTCTTTTTTTTTTTCTTTTCTTTTTTTTTTTTTTTTTATTGATTTTGTACAGAGAGGAAGGGAGAGAGATAGAGAGTTAGAAACATCGATGAGAGAGAGTCATCAATCAGCTGCCTCTTGCACACCCCCTACTGGGGATATGCCCGCAACCAAGGTACATGCCCTTGACCGGAATCGAACCCAGGACCCTTCAGTCTCCAAGCCGACGCTCTATCCATTGAGCCAAACCGGTCTCGGCCCCATGCTTTCTTTTTAATCAAAAGATTTCCTTTCCGCTTGGATCTCTAGACCCATATATGAATGAAAACCAGGCTCTGGTTCCACTATCCACACCCTCACTGCGGACATAACATGCATTCAGTAGTCGGCAAACAACTTCATTGGCGCACAGCCACGCCTGATGGTGCGCACTCCCTGCTGCTTTCACTCAGCTGCAGAGATGAGTAGTAGTGGCAGACAAGTGGCCCTCAAAGCCAAAAACATTCCCCTGGCCCTTCACAAACTGCTTGCTGATCTCTGTCCAGGACTGTGTTTGCACTCACTGCTGTGCAGCAGGGTGACATCAAGGCCTTTCTAACAGTGTGCGTGTTAGGGGAGTTCCTGGTCAGTAAGAAGCCTTAGCTGGGGAAAGCAGAACATTCCCCTGGACTTCAGGAAGTCGCTCTAATCCAAGGCCTTCCCGTGAGCAGGGTCACCTTCCCTTGGCTCTGCAGCCTCCTCCTGTCACTCACTGTTCATTTGATGCTCTTTCTTCACTAAGAATATCAGAAGATTCCTCCTTCGCATCATTTTTCACGGCCCTGCACCCTCTCTTCGAGAGGATTAGAACCGGTGCTAAATAAAGCACTGGGTTATCGGGGGTTTTCTTCCCAAGAGGGGCAATGTGTCTACATCTCTGCCAGCAGGAGCGGGAAGGTGCATGGGAGAGGACTCCTGGGTCTGCCCCTCGGGTTCTCAGGAAAGGCAGACAACTTCCAAGCCAGGACAAAGGCCTTGCCAAAATCACCAGTGTGACATTGGCCACATTGGGTTTCCCAGACCCCTACAGTCCCAGAACCAGTGCTGAGTCTTTGCTGTAGGTCATGGTCAGTTGTAAAGCACTCAGTGAATGTTTTTTATCTGCCTTAAATGGACCTACAGGAAGCTAAGGTTAGTTTACGGAAGAAAGAGAAACACGTTCTATAAATCCAGTGTTGCCTGGATGTGCTGTGTTATAACGTCTCCAGTGGTATGCAGCCATATCCTAAGCTTGCATATCACCACCACTGACTCACCCATGCACCTTCATTCATGGACAGGGCCTATATCAGTTACACTGTGCCTTTTCTATGTTTAGATACCAGATGCTTGCCTCTGCCACAGTTGCCTGAAGTATTTAGTGTAGTAACATGCCGCACAGGCTGGTAGCCCAGGAGCAAAGGCTATGCTGCAGAAAGACGGAAAATCTTCAAAGCAGGGGCCCTGACTTTGAAGAAAAATATGATTCTTGTGGCTAAAAAGATAGGAAACTTCTGGGCCTGGCCAGTGTGGCTTAGTTGGTTGAGCATCAGCCTATGTACCAAAAGGTCACTGGTTCGATTCCTGGTCAGGGAACATGCCCAGGTTGCAGGCCCGATCACCGGTAATGGTGTGTGGGAGGCAACTGATTTATGTTTCTCTTTGGTATTTCCATCTATCCTTTCCCTTCCTCGCTCAAAAATCATTTTTTTAAAAACATTTTTTTAAAAAGGTAGGAAACCTCTGGCCCTACCATGGTGAAGTGGCAACTCTGTTCATGAAAGGTGTTTGCAAATCTGGTTCTGGAGATGGTGGGGTATGGGGCCTTGGAGCTGGTAAGTGGGTCTCATTGAGATGCCCTTCCATCTGTGGCCTCACTCCCCATGATGTGGAGTCCTGCTTCCACTCCCTGTGTGTGGGTGTGGCGCAGGTGGCCCTGGGGGTGACCTCCCTCTCTTCTCGTCTCTCACACAGGGGAGCAGTGGAGCCTTCAGCCCTTTGAAGAAGAAGAAGCTGAGGACTGAGAATGACTTTGTGAAGTTTGACACGCCCTTCTTACCAAAGCCCCTGTTCTTCAGGAAAGCCAAAAGCAGCTCCGCCGCCCCTGTGACCCCTGCTATGCAGGTAAGCGCACTGCGGCCAAGCCAGAGGGCCGTGCTCGGCAGACGCTTGGCCTCTACTCCTGTCCGTGGCGCTCAGGCTCCTGTCCCAGGAGCCCAGCCTGCTGTGCGGGCCGTGCTGGGACCTCTGGGGCCCACCCTCAGATTGACCAGAGGTGCCTCATCTTAGAGCTTGGGAATAGGGGAGGTCTAGAGACACCAGCAGTGAAGGGGGCCCCAAGAGCCCTGGCTTTACAGATCAGATGGAGGAAGGCCAAAGGGGCCTGCCAAGGACACTGGCAGGTGCTCAGACTGGAAGAAGGAACGAGTGCTGTCCCCAGTCGGGTGACGTGGGCACTGTTCTGAGAAACCAGGTGGGAGCCGTGAAGGACGGGTCCTCTCTGCCAAGTGCCATTAGAATGGGGACAGGGTGCAGCCAGTGTGTGCGGGAGGCTCTCCTGGGGTTGCCTCCAGGAGGTGGAAGTCTTGGTGGAGCTGTGGAGACAGGCCTGGGCTGGCCCTGCTGGTGAGACCCACAATAGGTGGACTTTTTGAGAAAGCAGTAGGTGCTGTTTAATAGCCTCGAACCAGCAGCGTGACCACTGCTGTGTGAATGTTTATGCCTAAGATACTTTCAGGATATTTGTTAAGTGACTCTGGGCTTATAGAAGCAAAGTTCCTCTGATGAAATGATAATGTTAAAGCAAAACCGTCTTAGGCAGAACTGGGGATTCACACAATAAAACCCTATATTTTTAGGGAGGAATTTGAGAGGCTGGGGATGTAGGTACATTGCCCACCAAAGTCCAGTCCCATTGTAGATACAATCTAGTCATTTTTGCTTCTAGGGTAAGGCTAAATTCTAAGATGCAGTGAGTGGGAGCTCCTTATAATTTTTCAGTGTTTAGCTTTTTCTGTAACTTGGTTTCAAACATGGTAATTTTGCTCCGCTTTCTTCCCCGGAAGGCAGAGGCGGAGTCGGCAGTGAGGCAGTTTACTGCAGAGGGTGCTGGCATTGCTCACCTCCCAGGTGCCACAGTGCTTCATGCAACCTAGACCTGGGGCATGTGCAGCGCAGTCCTGATGAGGCCACAGAGGCAGACACAGGCCCTGGCCTCCAGGCCGAGCACTCTGTGGGCGATGGGCACCTGTGAGGGCTCAGGGACTCAGACACACACGGAGCCTCAGCTCTTTGTGCTCCTCTCACTCCCATTATGCTTTCCTTCAGCTCAACAAAACACCGTCCAGCTCCAAGAAGGTCACCTTCGGGCTGAACAGAAACATGACTGCGGGTGAGTGTGGGGTTTGCTTGCAGTCACCGTCTGCTCCTGGCGGGGAGGGCCCTGGCCCCTCCCCAGGCAGAGTTGGTCCCCGCCTCCCCAGTGGGGCGGCCAGGGGGGGTGGAGGTGGGGGTCAAGTTTTTGGGGGTCTCTGGAAGGAGCTTACCTGGTAGGAGGTGATGTGGATGGGTGGATGGCCTACCTGCCTAGAATATGTTAGTTGTCTTGGCCTGAGATGTAACGGTCTGTGAGCTGTAGTCACCTCTACCTAAACTCAGAGCCACACCATCCAAGGGGCAGGGAAAAGAGAGACATCTTGTCTTTCAGCTTTTAACGCGGGTGGGATTCATTTGTGTTGGTTTTTCCCCAAAGGAAACCAATTTTTTTTTTAAGTATATGAGTGTAAAACCTGACTCTCTTTACGCACAAGTAAGTGCATGTGTGCCTGCGTGTATCTGCGTGTACATATGTATGTACACATGTATGGACACGAGCACAGAGCAGCTATCAGGAGAGAACTGGGCAGCCCCAGCTCCCTCCATCTCTCCAGGTTGAGTCTGTAGATCGGGCGGCGGTGGGGGAGGAATAAATGCTAAAAAGAAGGGCTTCTCCTGGGGCTCTTTATTGAACCCAAGTATCACAGGGGGCCCTCGGGCATTTTCCTTCCGAGAGTAAATTCATTCTTGCTAGTGACTTTCATTTCCTCAGAAAGCCCTGGGGCCAGTGCTCTGCGGGGCTGCCCTGGAGTGAATGCCCTGGTTCCACAGGTCTCTTGGTGGCATGGAGGCAGGACAGGCCCTCAGTGGGTTGTCAGGACAGAGAAATCATACCATTAACATGTGGCTCGCTTTCATCGGACAGAATTCAAGAAGACAGACAAGAGCATCTTAGTCAGTCCCACAGGCCTCTCCCGAGTGGCCTTCAACCCTGAGCAGAGGCCCCTCCACGGAGTGCTAAAGACCCCGACCAGCTCCCCTGCCAGCACCCCCCCGGGGACCAAGAAGCCGCTGACTGCCACCCCAAAGAGAAGGCCCACGGCTATGGACTTCTTCTGATAGTAGCAGAGTCCCTTTATAAAGACTGCTTTTGTACAGAATACTCTATAAATTATAACTTTTAAAAGGTGGGGTGTTTTTTATTGCTTTATAAATTGTATATACGAGGGTCAGAGTGTGAGCCATGACGCTGCTGTGGGCATCTTGGTTGAAGTTTCACTACAAATACCGTTAGTGCTAGCGCTCACCGGGATTCCACACTCGTGGGAACCTCGGTGATTCCCCTAGTGTGGGAGCTGAGAGCACGTGACCTTCACCACATAGATGCTGCTGGCAGGTGACAGTCTGGAGTTCGACTCCATCAGCTGTCGAGCTGTCGAACTGGTGTTTGCCTGCTTGGCTGATTTCCTGGTGGTTTTTGGTGTAAGTCTCCACCTAAAAAGCACCTAGGCTTCGTACCCATGTTCTGTGAGTAATGGGCAGTTTCTGATCAGGTGACTCTTATGACTAAATCCGAAGTACAGCTGGGGATGAGCCTTCTAGTGGGGCAGGAGAGCAGAGCCCGTGGCCTGTGGCCTTCCCTGTGTTGCTACCTCTCAGCCAGCCCAAAGTGTCCTCATCGGAGAGCAGTGCCGCCCAGCGCACCCTCATCCAGTCATCGTGCTCTGGCTGCTCTTTACATGTAAATGTCTGTGCCAGCGGCAGTGGGCATCCACATGAGCAGCTCTCCCATCTTCAGTGAAAGCAGTGCTCCGGAGGCCTGGATGCAACATCCGGAGACCGAGCTCCTGCTGGGAGGCAGGCGAGCAGCTGTCAGGACCGTTTGTGGTTATTTATTTGTTCATAGTTACCTTATATCTGAAATGCCGAATCATGTGCTTAAGAGATTTTTACAAAGTCCTCATTTTATTTAGAAAGAATCAAGGTGGAAGGCACACAGACTTTAGTTGGAGAAACAAATGCAACTTGGAGCAGCGTTGCCTGATCCTTGACGTGATCCCAGAGCCTGAATGAGGGGTGAGATGCAGGCTCAGGAGTCGGGGTCGCCTCAGGAAAGCCCCTGGCCCGGCTCATTCTCCAGTTTGCACAACAACCAATTGCAGCCGTAACTTGGGAGGGGACACAGTTTTGCCTCAGGTGCCCAGTGCTTCCCCAGCCTGCTCTCCACTCAGGGATCTCAGGCCTCTTAGAGTGAAAGCCTTCCTCCCTCAAGCCAGAGCCCCAGTTTCTCACCAAAAGCAGGGCCAGCCCTCACTGCTACTTCCCAGCTGAGGGCCTGGTGTGTCACCCCTCCCTGGCTAGGGCTGTGGCTTCGGAAGAAAGGCCCTCTGGGATGACAGGGTCCAGCTGACTGGGTTCCTTAATCACATGACCAAGGGGGCAGGCTTCTCCAGGAAGGCCCTGCTGCGAAGGAAGGGGAGCTGTTCTGTGCCTGCTCTATAACAGAGTTTTCACTGTTAGGTCAGGAAAACAGAAACAACAAACATTGTGCTGTTGTCAGCTCTTCCTTGTAGCAAGAAGTCTTCATACAAGATGATCTTGTAGTTGCATTGTTTTTTAGTGTGCTACATTCGACACCATACCTAAAATCATTCAAAACCAGAACTGAGGTTTGAAAAGATTAGATTTGAGTTGTCAAATATTTTTAACTTTTTTTTTTAAAGTATCCTTATTGGTCAAAGTATTTTTCTAACAACTTTTATTTCAGCTTTAAAGATAGGTCTAATCGTCAAATGGGTCATGTAATCCAGCATGTTAAGATGTCTTTGCAAGTCGTTGTAAGGCCAAAAATGCACATTTACTGTCGTGATGAGTGCAGGACCTTCTCTTCCTAGCGCTGTCTCTCCTGGGCTGCCAGCGAGTGCCCTGTGCGTGCTCCTGCGCATGCCTGCCTGTGACATGGGTCCTGAAGGAACAGTGTGTCTTGGGTTCCATCTGTCCACTAACTCTGTCCTAACTTACTCCATTTTGTGGGTAAGTCCAGTAGGTTTACTGTGGCTTATTTTTAATGCCTAAATTTTGGCTACAAAAGAAAAAAAAACACAATTTTTTAAAATCCTCATTACGTATACATACAAGAATGTCAGATAAACTATTTAGAATACTGGTTTTCTACTTGATGCATGCTATTTTCCTAGGTAAAATAGCCAAGGGGACTTGGCAGTCCAAAATAGGAACTAATTTAATGCTGTTGATCTTACAGTATTTTGTAAAACAATCGTCTGTACGATTTGGTATCACACTTTACGGTGTATTGTCCTTTGTAACTTTTAATGAACTGAAAGCACAAAGGGGAGTTTAAAGCAGTTGTTATTGTTGGAAAAAAATATGAAATTGAGTCCATATTTTGATTTTTGTGTTTCCTTTGAATTTACCTGACCGCTGGCAAGGACTTTTTGTTTACGACCACTTTGTGTTAGTGTCTGCTGTGTTTGTCAGTACTCATCAAAGCCAAGTTCAATAAAAAAATTGTCTTTGCCTCAGACTTGTGTTGGCTGTGATTGTCAGTGTGCATAAAAACAGGCCTCTCGGGGAACTGCTCAGTGCAGCAGGGGTGGGAGGTGTTGGCGCTGTTGTGAGAGTTTGAAAACAGACTGCTCAGGCGCCTGTCCTCATGTGTTCATCACATAGAGCCAGTGGGTGCTGTTGGGGCAGTCTCCTCGGATGGGGGAGCAGACACTCGCTGCCAGACCTAAAGCACGGGCCTCGGCCTGTGAGGATGATGCAGAGGTGCCACTGTCCTGGTTGCCACCCCAGCTCATCCCAGACCACTGCCAGGTGTTGAGGGCACAGTGGAACAGGAAGTTCCCCCTCCCCCCCATTCATATGTCCTGACCCCCGTGTCCCCATTGGGACCACACAGCACTGCGTCACCTGGCTGCACTGTATTCGTCCATCCCTCTAACAAGGGGCATTGAGTTTTCTATCTCAGATGTATTTTAATGTTTATGTTTTTTCTTAACTTACCTGGCTACTGGCAAAGACCATTTGTTTACGGAAGGCGGCATCTGAGCAGACACCAAAAGAGGTTGAAAAGTGAGTCAGGTGTGTCTGGAGAAAGCATTGCCAGCAGCAAAAGCATGTGAAGAGGCAGAGGCATGTGAAGAACAGCGAGGAGGAGTGGGGCCTCTAGGTGGCGCTGCAGGGAGCTCAGGCAACCCAACTGTCCCCATAGAGGACATCTGACATGCGGGTCAGGATTACAGACAACCATTCAGTGTCTAGGGATTGGTCAAAGGGCTACAACAACCTGAGGAGCATTTATTCAACAAAATCTACAGAAGCTGAGTAAGACTAGTAGGAGGCTGACACGAACCTGAGCTGCAGCCCTGCGCCCATGGTTCTGCCTCCCACAACTACTTCATGGGCTCCGCGCCCATGGCAGTTCCCACCCCCATCTTCAGGGTCAGAGGGAGCTTTTCCACCTAGATCAGCAACCAAAGTAACATTTACCTTCAAGCTTCCGCAGATATGGAGGGAGAGCCGGGAGGGTCCAGAGGCTGGTATGGGGCTGGTGTAGGCATTATGGAGGATGCACCTTCTAAAACTCAGACGAGGGAGGGCTAAAGGGGGGTGCTGTGGGACTTGGAACAAAAGCCCATGTCTCTCCAGGCCCTGGGAGCTCCTCCCAGGAGAGCCTTCTCTTCTGCCAGGTTCTGCAATTGACAGATGTCCCGCAGCTTCCCGGAAGGGAAATGCAATGAGCTCCTCTCCACAGAGGAGGCAACAAGGCTTGGAGAAGCCAGGCCCTTGCCCAGGCCTCATGGCTTGTACATGCCTGAGCAGGGGTCAGATTCCAGCTCCCCAGATCTGCAGAGCCCAGACTCTGACCTATCTCCTCCCCCCACCAAGCCCTGGCCCCATTGAGCTGTACATGTGCTTCTCCAAGTTTGGGCACTGGCCAGCAGCAGGGCACCTCCAGAGCAGGTTAGGGATGCAGAATCTTAGCCGCTCAGAGCCACGGGTCAGCACCTCCATTTTGCCTGCCCAGGCAAGCTGGTCACAGACCTGCAGCCTTTCACAGAGGCCTCCACACAGGACGATCCTCAGTAAGTATTGGCTGCATCACATTTACTCCAGTTGAAGAAACAAAACCAAGGGGTTTTCCTTTGCTGGACATCCCTGAGATCCCAGCTGGAGAAACTCCCACCAGAGCCACGGGCCTCAGTCTTTCACTTGCTTTTTTTAAGTTATTTTTTAAATATATTTTATTGAGTTTTTAGAGAGAGGAATAGAGAGTTAGAAACATCAATGAGAGAGAATCATCGACCAGCTGCCTCCTGCACACCCCCTGCTGGGGATGTGCCCGCAACCAAGGTACATGCCCTTGACCGGAATCGAACCCGGGACCTTTCAGTCCGCAGGTTGACGCTCTATCCACTGAGCCAAACTGGTTTCAGCTTTATTATTATTTTTAATGGAATTTATTGGGGTGACATTGGTTAATAAAAATATATGGGTTTCATGTGAACAATTTTATAATATACTAGAGGCCTAGTGCATGCAATTCATGCACCTGGGGGGCTCCCTCAGCCCATCCTGTGCCCTTCCACACTCCGGGAGCCCTCAGGAATGTCTACTGCTGAGGGCCTAACCCAGCAGTCGGAGGAGGCAGGAGAGGCTCCCACCACTGCCACTGTGCTCACCAGCCATGAGCCTGGCTTCTGGCTGAGCGGCACTGTCCCACAGGAAGCACACTGACCGCCAGGAGACAGCTCCGGTGTTGAGCATTTGCCCCCTGGTGGGGTATCAGTGCACATCATAGCAACTGGTTGTTCAATTTGCATATTAGCCTTTTATTATATAGGATTAGCTATACATTGTACTGTGTGTTCACCACCCCGAATCAAGTCTCCTATCGCCATTCATCCCCCCTTTACCCTGTTCTCCTTCCCCATTCCCCTTTTCCTCTGGTGATCACCATACTGTTATCCGTAGCCTTTAACTTTCAGAATGTACGTGAGAGCAGAACACACTGCACCCAAACACCCACAGGCCTGTCAACTCAAGTGAACTGGTGCCCTGTGTCTGGTTTATATATTCTTCTGACTGAGCCATCT